TATTTATTTTAATTTGTAATAATTACTTCATTGATAACATAAATTAATATTTTTATATGACAATATTTAAATTAATTAGTTTAACAAAAAAAAAAAGGTTAAGTACAATAATTATTTTGGTATGTTAATATTATTTTTTATTGCAATGTATTTTTATACTCTCCCTACCTCTACATCTACTTGTTTGTTTAAACTTTCAGTCATTTTTATAAATAGTTAGTGTTATAATAAAGCTGATGATACAAACATAGGTGTTATATTTGTATTTACAATTACAAAGCCGTCATTATATACGAATGCACTTAGAATCAATAGCTACTTTATATTGGTAGACAATCATCTTCATTTATAAAATACAAATATATACAATATTCTAGAAATTCAGTTTGGAATTTAATTCTATACGCCCTATTATATATTATAATAGATTAAAATATATTTAAAAAGATATTATTGTAAATTATTCTAATGTAAAATGAAAATTATAGGCTATACGAAATAAAAATATCACTAGACATCTATATATACCGACTTTAGTGATCAAAAAACTAATTTTATTACGAAACGTTATATCTGTACATTAAGTCAGAATAATATTATAATACATACAAGTGTCATAGGTTGGTATTACTAATATATATGTATATAATGTAATAATCTAAACAAATTAGCAGGTTTTATTTTTGTTGCAATAGTGGCACTAATAAAGAAGAACACTATTCTAAAACGTTAATTTTATTTTATCTATACAGATAGTACATTCAGTTCAGCAATAAATATAATAAAGGATTTCTTCATCTTTAAAGTAACTTTTGCAATGGTGCACTTACTTCTGTAAAACGGAGTAGTGTGTTGTTCACACTGCACTAGTACATGTTCATTAACAGCTTAAACCGCTAAAGTTGTTTCTGTTGTATATATGTTTATTGCTTCCAATCTCTAATACAATTCTTATGCAGGTAGGAAGAGGCTGATTTGTACCTTAAGATCAATTATGTATGCTGAGGCAAAAATTCGACACAATTTTTGGTCGTAACTTCCTACAGTACTATATTACATCAGCGACATAGCGCAAAGATTTTAATTTGACTTAACTCGTCTATAGTATGGGGCTACCGAGATTAGATAATTAAAAACTTGTAATACACCTAAGATCAACTTTTCAAAATAATATTGTCAATTTATAGTATTTTAATTATAGTTTATTTTCAAAAATAAATAATAATTTTCAAAATTATTTATTGAAACAAGATAAATATCTTCATTATGAAATGAGCTTACTAATGAATATTTTCATGTTTCAATGAAATTTTAAATTAAAAAAAAAAGATAGTATCATCATATCATAGATTACAGATACATAATGACAGCAATAAATGATCAATTCTTTCCAAAATTAAAAAAATAACATGAAATAAATTAAATTTATATTAATAAATTAAGAATAAACCCCTTCACTTGAAAAATGTTACAGAACCGCACTAAAAAATATAAATACATGAGAGAATGCGCCTCTTTGCAATGTTATTATATTATTAGGTTACCAAACTAGTTATTCGAAATCGTGAACACCCCTATTAATTTTCGAATTACAATAAATAAAAAATTTTGCTATACATTGAACTAATTATATTAAATATATCATAAATATCATCAACAGTTTACTGCAAAGATTTCTCTGAGATTGACTCAATAAAACCTACCTACCTGACGCTATAATTCCATATCATTTTAAATTGTAAAAAAATATAAATAAATATAATATATTATAAATTATTTTCCTCACAATAAATATCTTCAACAGTTTACTGCAAAGATTTCTCTAGAAGTGAATCAATAAAAATTACCTATCCGACGCTATAATTCCATATCATTTTAAATTGTAAAAAAATATAAATAAATATAATATATTATAAATTATTTTCTTCACAATAAATATCTTCAACAGTTTACTGAAAAGATTTCTCTAGAAGTGAATCAATAAAAATTACCTATCCGACGCTATAATTCCATATCATTTTAAATTGTAAAAAAATATGAATAAATATAATAAATAATAAATTATTTTTCTAACAATAAAAATCTTTCACAGTTTACTGCAAAGATTTTTCTAGAAGTGAATCAATAAAATTTACCTATCCAACGCTATAATTATATATCATTTAAAATTGCAAAAAAAATTTAAATAAATATAATAAATTATTTTTTTTTAATAAATATCTTCAACAGTTTACTGCAAAGATTCTTTTAGAAGTGAATTAATAACATCTACCTATCTGACTCAATAATTATATATTATTAAATTAAAATTAAAAAATAGGATCATATTTAACCGTAAGAACTGAATTATTTTTATTTCAACCCATAAAGATAGATAACAGTCAAAGCTTATTGTCGCCGGTTTTCATCTTAACTGTTTCAGATATCAACTTTGATAAATATCTTCAAAATACAAACACATCACACATATTTTTTAGATATGTTACCTATATTTTATCTTTCATTCGCTTATAAACTTCACTTAATAAAATATTTTCGTAAAAACAAAATAAATGAAAAAAAAGTACTCGTAAAAAATGGAGGCCATATAAACCATATACAGGGTTATTCAGTATAATTGCGGAAAATTATTCCTTGGTTCAAGAATAAAAAAAATGCAATGGAATCCATTAACAGTTTTAAGCGAAATAGAAAGTGCTAACGGAAGGTATACCTAACAAAAATGTTTATAACGAGTATTTTTTAGCTACAATAGAACTATCGATAACGATAACTATAGTTTGAATGTCAAACTGTGCTAATATTTCATTTCAGTAAAGTTCGGGAATTCATCATGAATCGTTTAACGCTAGAACAACGCTTCCAAACTACGGAAATTTACTTTAAAAAAAAATAAATCTCTTCTCGAAGTTCATAGAGCATTTCGGCCATTTAACGGTCATAATAATCAGCCTATTGAGCAAACATTTCTTGCAGTTTTTGATCGTTTTCGCACTAATATTACAAAGAAATGTGCGTACCGAAGAGAATAGTACTGCTGTATTACGAGGTATTAAAGAAGTCATCGAAATGCCGATTCTTCTCCGTTCTCAATTTGTTGACTTTTGTTTTTCGACCACATGGAAAACTTTACATAAGATCTTTGTGGCTTACGTGTCTATAAAATACAATGCAAGAATTGAAGCCAAAAGACCAACGTTTGCGTCGTATTGTTGTTAATTAGGCTCATTTAAAGGTGGCCGAAGAGGACCATTTGTATTGAAGCATTGTGTTAGTGATGAAGCACATTTCTGGTTAAACAGCTACGTCAATAAGCATAATTACCGTATATGAAGCAAAGATAATCCTCAAGTCGTTAACGAATCACCATTACATCCATTAAAATTGATTGTTTGGTGCGGTTTACACGCTGGCAACAATATCGGTCCTTATTTCTTTCGAAATGAGAAAGAAGTTGCCGCTACGATAAATGGAGAGTGCTACCGAGCTATGTTGACTAAATTTTTGTCAAAATTTAATCAGTTAAACATCGACGACATTTGGTTCTAACTAGAAGGCGCAAATTGCCATACAGCGCGCTTAACAATCGATTAATTACAAAATCAATTTAGTAACAGCTTTATTTCTAGAAGATATTATTGTAAAAAGTAGTAAAAAATTGGACTGATCGAATGAACCATGTAATTCGTAGCCACGGCGGATATATGCCGCAAATCATATTCAAAAAATAAATACCAAGAAATTATCTACCAAATTTCTCGTCGAGTTGTAAGCACGCTTGCCCTACCGACTGAGCTAACGACGCTGCTCAGGTTCTAATCCTTGGGTTTTTAACAATTCGGTAACACAATGGGCCTATAAGCCTAAGTTGATCCCTTGGTATCGCAGGTATAACCTAACCTAACGTATCTACCAGATTATAATAAAAAAAAATTTATTCCAACAATATTTCTGTTTTGTATTATAATTTTAAGTTCTCATACAGCTAAAAAAAACACCCGATATATAGCCATAAATATATATATTACCTTTGATGCTTCTTTTTTTTATTACAGATAACCCTTTTTTCAATTTTTTTCTACATTTACTTTCATATTTATATATCAATAGGTTATTTTCTTGCGAAATCATTTCGTTAAGGAATTTTCCTTCTACCAAGTACCATTTTTCTTTAATTGTTCTTTAAAGCGAACTACATACGATATTTAAAACCATCATTTCTATGTTTCTATGTTTAGGCAATTTTCATATATATGTATTTAAAAATTTTGAATTAAATTAATAAATGCATACAATTTACTTAAGTTTTTATACAATCTAATCACTTAATGCAAATATTTAATTTTAATATTCAGTGTTAATGAATTAATTCACCAAGTCAACAAAAAGTATATGAATACTCTTCTTATCAAAGAATAAAAGTGTTTTTCTATTTCACAAAGTTTTTTATTTATTTCAAGAAATTGAAATTAGTGCTTATTTCATTAAGAAAAATATAATTTACATTTGAATGGAATTTAATAGAAATAAAAGACAACAATTAATTAATATTCCAAAGTAAAAACATTTAGAAAAACATACTGTATTTTCATAGAAAATAAACTGAAACCCTCAATATGAGTTTCTTATATTAGTTAGCAGCAAATATGTTTTTTCTATTGAGTAACCAAATCCATGAGTAATAAAAAATGACGAAGACAAAAATACTATTGCCTCATAAAAGCGAAAACTTTAGTTCTAAACTTACAATAACAAACATACCATAAAAAAAAATACGAAAGTATAAAAAAGAATGGTATGATATACATTATGCAACTATTTTTCCACCCATTCCGGAAAAAGCCCCACAATGATGCAATTTGGCTGCCCTACTGCACATTTATGCCACGTTTTGCATGTGTATCAAAGGCGCCATAAGAATACCAAAAAAAGTAAAATGAACCAAAAATATAATTGTAAAGAAATATTTTTAAACTATTGACTTACGACCTAATACTTACTTATTTGTAATTTCCATAACATCCGATATCATGAGACGATATTTTTCCCGAAATTCTCTGCCATGTCGAGTCTCAAGTAAATATTTATTGCAGAAATCTGTAAGCGATACGAAATAGATGAATCCCAGAGAGGTTAAGAAGAAGCCACGCTGCAATGAGATGCGATCCGTGGTGTTAGGTATTTGCAGCAGACTACCACATGCCAAACTTATCGAGCCGATGGAACAGGCTAAAGATACATAGCAGCGATTATCACGTAACGTATTCTTAAAAGATTGGCCACACATTTTTGTACGCCACGCTATTGATTGCTTCCAATTTTGTTGTTGTTGCTGCTTTTAGTAGCTTTCTGCACTCTTATTACTTGTTTTGGGAGCCAACTTTCTTCGTAATGCTCAAGAATTTACCAAAGCCACAGCAGTTGAGTGTGAAGTACAAACTTCGAGCCGTTGTCTAACAGTGCTAATTAGTGTGATTTTAGGAGTTTAAACTCCAAAGTTTTTTAACAATCGTTCCAAATAATTTTTACTCAACATTTCTTTTTGCACTGTTTTAGCTAAAAAAAATGAAACTTTTGTATTATTATTAAATTCGTAAATATTTGTAAAACACTTGGATTTTAAGCTTACTCCGCCGCTTCACTTAAAACGCAACCGTTCGATTTTAGTGACACTTTTCGATTGAACGTTTAGTTTTTTTCATCGTCTATGAAATTGTTTAGAGCAGGCGCATTAAATGTTTTATTTAATTTGATATGCAAATATAATATAAAAAAAACAACGAACAGTACACAAACTAAAAAAAAAACAATAAAAAACAATAAGTTTTTAATTATACTAAGCTGCGTTTAGAAGTTGTGTATTAATTTCAATAGTTTAAAATCTTACAACTATAAGAGGTACATATGTCTCCAGAAACAACAGAATATTTTATATCTACAGATACGTTACATACGTACATTAATGAAATATATTAAGTATGTGAGAAAATAAAAATCTGTTTAATTTTTTATACAGAATATTCTAAATTCTCGATAGAAATCTTTTTTTGATACAGTGTTCCAAGTACTAGAAGTATTGTATAATATTTTTCCTATATATAAAAGCTGAATCACAATACGACATTCCATCTAAACGAATTTCAAATTATTATGATCTTTGTTCTAGCATATCAAAGCTTTATAACCACTATAATTATAATTACAAAATTATGCAAATATTTTTCAATTAGAGTTAGAATTCTCACTAACTTAGGTCAGCAGAATGCAAATGCTAAAATGCAATCCACACTTTTCGATATATATACATGGAAAATATTTTCGGCAATATTTTAGTATAGAATTAAACTATGTTAAATAAATTGGAAAAAAATACTTTAAAATAATGTTTTAAATTTACTAGAGAGGCTTCAAAAAGTAGTGAACTACAACAACAACAATTTTATATTTACATAAGTTCAAGAAGTCAAGTAGTTCTCACGAAGTCTTTTCAAAAAACTTAGTCTTATTAAAGAATAGAACTTAACACAAATAAGTAATCCACAAAAATTTAGGCCAAGAGCAGATTCTTATAATGTCATTGAATTCTGACTTATAGATATTTTCTGCTTTCTTATACACAGTTCTATGAAATTTAAAAACAGCAAGAAACTTTGCTAAACTTCAAAATACTGTAAGTAGTAGCATATATGTATATGTATTTTATCAATGAAATCTTTAAGAAAGAATAAATATCATATACCTTTATTATATATCTTTAAATCAAAACGTTTGAGTACTCACGTTATATCTACCTCCTTGCCATGATAACGCTCAAATGTATAATTTATAATTTTTTTATAACAAAATATAGCGTCATATACGTCAAGTCCTCAAAACACTTGACAGACAACCGACTGCAATAAACTGCAGTTTTTAAGATAAATTAAGACACAAACAGATTGCAATTAACATATGTTGACTCCAAATGTAAGAAAGTAATATTAAGAATTAAGATTACTAAAAATGAGCCCTTGAGAATAAATACCAATAAACAAAGTTAAAGTTTATGGTTAAGGAAAATTATATTAAAAATGTAGATCAATTTGAGTTCTTAGACTGTACGGTTTTAACATATGAAGCGCGTTTGTAAATCTTAAGAATATATGAAGAGGCGCCGGAATAAGGTTTTCAATATAAAAATATATGACGTATATGAATCTGCAACCTTGTTCTTAATAGATACAATTTTGCATAAACTATAGATATTCCTTAATATAATTTTATTATGTTGATGCTGTTTTGAGTCGGTGCACTTAAGCACTTTTACTCTTTTATAATTCGAGGTATTTTCCCCTCTTTACACCTTGACTAGATTATTGTTTATCGCTTCATCAAACTAAGCAATAATTGACCTCAGATCTGCATACCTTCCCGAGAAACCTTTTTTGGGATTTGATAACGCGATGTTGGTATCTGTCAGTTTTCGCAAATAATTTCAGGGGTCTATCCTTTATGTATTTTTTGATGGGATCAATCTTGTGGTCCCTAAAGATGTCATTTGTCCTAATGTACCATGAAACTTTGAAAAGTCTTCTCAGAGCCTGGCTTTGTGCAATTTTTAGCTGGTGAATAGTAGTGTTTGAAGTTTTACTAAACGCTACACAACCATATAGAAGTGACGGACGAATTATTTGGTTATATACATATCAGTTTCCTGTTCTTAGCATTGAGATTTTCATTTCTGAATATAATCCTAAAAATTAAATAGTCAAATATTATTAATATGGAAGGTTTATATGACATATATCAGTAACTTTCTATTCAAAACAATATTAACTTTTAGTCATTCGTGTAGATATTAATAGCATTTTCTCCACAATAAGTTTTATTTTCTAATCGAAATTGTTATATTATAAATATTAAAATAACGCTTATTCGCATTAATTTTTAAGAAATTTCACATTCTTAGTAAGTGGATATGTTCAAGTGGATAATTAGAAATAAATTGGAAACTGCAGAAGACTGGGTTTTAAGCATATCAGAAGACAGAATAAATAATACTTTGCATGAATATTTGATGATACGATGGGTGTGTTGGAAATAAGTGTCCAATAGTGGACCGACTGTTGTTTGAATCTCTTTAAACTTACACAAGATTGTTTTGTCAGTGTATAATGTATACAAAATAGCAATTTTAACCGATAAGTTTATAGTCTTTGCATTTAGAAATGCACATGGGATAATATTGGTGATATTGATAATATTGATGTAATACTTTAAAAAAAGGATATATTATTAGATTTAAGGAAACAAATTGGTCTCGCATAGTGGAAGTAGCATAATGAGCCATCATAATCGTACTATGTATATAACATGTTTATTGTGATATTCTTCTGATAATGAACACTAAACCCCTCTTTACACCTTGACTAAACCCATCTTTACACTATATTCGTTTAAGTTGTTATGTTTGAATATGGATTCAGGGCACTAACTAGTTCGTGTTTTACAACTGAAGGTTTCTTCTTTATTTAATACTGGGTTCATGCGAGAAGTTTGATCGTAATTTTTGCTGTCAAAAATTTCGCAGTGACGATTCACGCGACGTATCTTATAATTTCCTTGTCAGATTTATAATATGTCCATACCTTTTAATTACTTTTACAAAATATTTAATTTGCATATACGATATATAACAGTTTTGTTTCATTTTTTATGAAAATTTCATTCATTCCTCAAAGCTATTCACAATAGCACAAGTTTGCCTGTAAAATACTGTACTACAGTAAACTGTCCAAGTTAAAATCAACTTGATTTTGTAGAACTTACAATACAATTATATTTCCAGCTCTCAAAATTCCCATCATAATATTCCTGATTTGAATTTGTTTAGCTGTCGAAATTAAAAATAATTAAATGACAGCTAAAAAAATAATCAAAACTCTTGTGTAAATCCAGTAGCAACCAAACTAAACGACTGTCCATAATAGTTCTCAAAATTGGAAGAAATGTGTACTTTAAATTATTAAAAATTATATGATAACCTAAAAAGTACTGATATCAATCTCAAATAGTGTTGAGATTACAACACTGATTAAACATGGCTTACAGCTGGCTACTCATAAAACGGAAATACTCCTATTAACTCAAAGGCATATAGGTAAATAAGGATATAGAGATACAAGTAAGTAATGATATTCTGCGGTCCCAAAAGAGATTAGATCTACAAGGGAGCAGCAGAAACTTGGCTAATAAATAGACAGTATCAAGAAATGTAGTGAAAAAGTCTGGACGCAGATCAAAAATCAAATAAACATGACCTACAACGCCAATATAAAGAGATCCGAAATAATGCAAAAACCGTTTCGGAAGGAGTAAGTTTCTCCGATGGTGAGTGTTTTAGTTCGTATACTAGATATTAATATATTAATGAATGGGGTACACCATTCTGACGATGATCGGTTTGGCGGTACATAAACCACTGTACCTCCTCATAACAACAAAAAAGTACTTATATCAATAACTACTAGTGTCAACTGATGATAGTACTTTATAACATACTTCATTACTAAATTAATTTCAAATAAAAAGCAACTGAACTTTTGTACTTGAACTTGCTGCTTATAAACTAAGACTTTGCAGTACTTCATATTGGTGATTAACGGATTATCAAAGAAAGTAGACAAATAATAGCAATTATAGCGATAATTCCTTTTATAATATTTGCAAAATCATTATCGATTTGTGTTTTATGATTAAATTTATTTATTACAATTATAATATGTTCTACACACAATCACAAGTGGCTTTACACTGCTTGTTAAATTGAGCACTTTTCAAAAACAATAAACGCTTACCGATAAGATAATAAAAACTCTTAAGAATGCTCGAGTGCCCTATATACTATATGGGGCACTGAAGTGATTACAGCTACAGAGGCGTTAATTAATGAGTGCAAAAGGTTACTTTGCTAAATGAGTGCTTATCATAAATCCGTTTTTAAGTTTATTTTTGCAACAATTTACTATGCAGATTAGTTCATGCCAAGATTTCATAGACGTAAAACAATCTATAAATAACCTTGGAAGCGTTTTTTGAATAACATAATTGTATACACGAAACTAGGGAGTAGATGAAAATATTAAAATGTATTTAGTTATCTTAATGAATTTAATAAATAGAAATAAATTAACTAATAATATATATTTATTTTTATTTTTTTTTAAAGGATGCATGGTAAGTATTTTTAAATTGAACAAACTAATAATGAAGTTCAGTTGTGGAAATGATTTTATCTATAATGCACTACAATACACTGCCGAAAAAAAATATTTTTTCTAGTATATTAGATTAAATTAGAATTAGAAATCCACTTTAGTTTGATAGGTACGTAGCAGTTAAAAAAAACCTTTAGTTCCCTAGATGTTTAGAGAGATGTTGCCTAATTCCGTTGTAAGTGGATAGGCACTTGATAAGTACCGAAGTCTGAGTCAGGCAAGACTATCATAGTGACATAAACTGTATTCTGCTGTTTCCTCTTCTTCGTGATAAGGTCTGCAGCTATTGTCCCTTATAACGCCTAGATTTTCTAGTATATACTCCCTTTAAGCACGCCACTGTATATACACTAAGAGTTCAGCTACTTATTTTGTTTTAATATATGTTTACCTTATATAATTAAGAAAATAATAAATTTCTTTTAATTTATATTGATATTTACTGACATTCATAATTGCTAATGTAAGCATATATATACATTATATGAATAAAAAGAATAT